ATGCGTGTGACGTAGAAAGTTTGTTCTGAAACATTGAAACGCATGGTGAGTTGTCTTATGCAGTTTGAAGCTCGTTGGTGTCAATAGTATCACGGCGAAAGTTTGCAGGGCCAGATTCACCGCTTACGGCGTGCTTATGGTCGGCGCTTTCGCAGTTGGGTGGTTGGAGTTCTTTCAATAGTCTGGCCGATGTTCGCCGGGTGAGCTCAAGGGCCGCGATCCAAGGGTACCTAGGTACCGTGGACAGGATGAACATGGCGCAGAACGATGGCTCTCCCAAATACGGCTGCGAAGTTGTTGAGTTGGATCGTTGAAATTCCTGTGCGCGAAGCTAAGAGCTGTCACCCTGCTGACATGTTAGCCTTCCGTCATTGACGTCCGATGCGGGCCGCTCACTACACGGATGCACAGGTTGAGCATGTGGACGTAGGGGCGCCTCGCACTGAGATTATTGATGTATTCGGCGTCCTGGCCGTCTGTATTCTGAGATGTCTATTTTTGTACCCTTGATAGAGTCGTCGAACGTGGTATCATATGCTAAAGCGATGCAAAAAATCCACCAAGATATAAGCGCCCCCAGTATGCCAGTCGTAACTTTATGTTTCCCGCTTACGCGTACATGATGCGCGACGTGAGATTTTTGATGTCGGTTCCAAGACCTTGTCGCTATCGTGTGAGATCGCGCAAGTCGGGTCGTGGCGTCACCGGTCGTGTCCGCTGGGTCGCGGTGCTATTGGTGGTAATGGCATGTGGTTCTCGTGAAGGTCACCATGTGTCTCGTACCGCGCCGGACGTCGCTTCATCGGCTCGACTTGTAGTTCCACTTCGCTGGTCAAAGTGATCGTCATGTCGGTGTCCGTATTCATGGTCCCCATTTGGCTCTTCGGGCGAATCTTGCCCCACAGGCGCGACATCCCCGTCTTGGGAGCTTCCTCCTCTTCCAAAATAGCTTCCTGGCTTCCTCGTTCCAGATCCTGTTCGTTATCCGCCCAATGCTTCATCTCATAGCTGTTGCCTTTGTCGTTTGCGAGTTCTGGCGCATTGCGCGGTGCTGCGGATTTCCGGTTGTTGGAGGAATGCGACGCTGATGCATTGGCGGTTAGCGTCTTTGATGAGTTCGCGCTCTTCTTGAAGGATATGCCACCTGAGAAGGATTGCGATAGACTGAAGGGGATCTTCGCGAGGAGAGGTTTTAGTACTGGAGCCGAGGCGCAGATCTGTGGCCAGTAAGTATGGTGTCACTGATTAGCAATCGTACGTGATAACTTACTACACCCAAGTCGATCTCTACAGCGGCTGCGATCCAAAGTGGATATGCGTACCAGGTTTGGTCGAACTCATTGTTCCAGAGACTCCGATAGATGAACCAGGTACGCACAATACCAGCAGCGGATACGATCAAACCCATACCAAATAGCGCGGCGACGGCCAAGCGCTCACGCATGCGCATGTGAAGCTAGAATCAGTCAGTAGCTGTTCTGACTTGCATGTGAGATTGGGCCAACTCACGCCCATGACCAAGGGTATTGGTGTTAAGGTAGTAAGAAAGTCTGCGACACAGTTGATAATTCCGCAGATGAGAGTCGCAGTTCCTTCGTCCATGCAAGTGTCTGCCGGCGCGCCGATAGTCCAATAGTTCTTGATGGGTGTGCAGAAGAAGATGGCGACGAAGGGGAACGATATCAGGATGCCGAGTGTGTAAACAACATTGACGTGAACCGCCCACTTGAACCAACTAGGTGAATTAGCAAGGCAATTGATGATGGTCGCACGCCGAAAATACTCACGTCTTTCCTGAATCCGTGACCAATCGGTAGTAGAAGCAATGCAGAGAGAGTCTCGTGAAGCTCGCGGCCGCTGTGAAGACGACCTTGGCAGTCATGGCGATTTTGTAGGCCGGAACGAACATGTGAAAAGGGATATCCCAAACATGTCTGCGGTGGTACGGTAATTAGCGGTATGCTACGCAAATGCGAATCGGGGTATTTACCTATCCCATCCATATCGGAGGTTTGCCAGGAGAACGACTGCACAGAGACCGCACGTGAAGAGCAGCGCGATAAGGATGAAGACATCATCGATACCAAACCACCTCTTGATTACTATACGGGTGTATAGACGCGCAATCACAACGAGGATGGTGAATGCGATGAGGATGCTGTTGACGATGAGGAGGGCAGGGCCGCGCGTTTCCGGATCAATGTAATTCGGGGTCGGCCAGCCCAAGAGGACATCCACCGGAGGCAGCTGCATACTGGATTATCGTGGGCCTGCCCGGGGAAGTATGCGAGACATGTGGGCGTGGAGAATTGTCGAGCTGCGGATAGACGGGCAAGGTCAAAGAAACGGGATCAAGAGCTTGCCACTAGGATAGGGTCTCGAGGGTTATGTTCAGTGAAGAGTGGGGCTGCGCACATGGCCGTTAGCTCCATCCATGTCATGAAGCGCAATGGCGCGCTGACTACCGTCACGACGCTGGTGTCGCATTGGCTTCGAAGCTCGGCTTGTACACGGACCGTACGCAAGGCACGATAATCGTGGCGCATCAGCGGGGTCTTGCATGCGGCGCACGAACTCTCCGTGAAGGGTGGAACCCAAAGTCACGACGAAAGGTTCTGCCAACCGCACGCTCCGGGCATCAATGACGAACGCCTGAACAGGATTGCTCCATCAAGATTCGCCCAGGCATTTCGAGTGCGTCCCAATGACCTCGTAAATAAGTGCGGTCTGCCCATTCGGTCGGTAGCAAAGAAGCTCCTTGGTTGGTTACTGGCTCACGGGACACCAATTTCCGCCTCGCCGGCAGTACAAACATGCCGCCACGACAACGAGTATGGCAATCCCTTGCACAAGAACACGGCCATGTCTCAGGTCACAGGGACCTCCAATGGGTGAGTCGTGCCACCTGTAGCTACGGGAGCTAGGTCTTGGCCGAGCTGGAAACTTTCGGGAGACACCAACCAGAATTGTCCGGCAATAACGGGGGGCTGTTTAAATCGTCGAAAGTTTCTAGACCCTGAAACCATGTGTTGAATGTAGCAATCGACGCGAAACGTGGTGGTGATCCAAGGGTTAGTGGTTGTGGAGGGAAGGTCTGCCTGTGCGTGCGGCCAGGTCAGATCAGGCATTCCACGCTAGCGCCGACCACACGGGGTCTAGCGTCGGATCTTTGTCACCCTGCAGCGATCCATTGCTGTCCGCCCCACCCGCATCCTCCATCGTCGAACTCAAAACTACGGGGGCATTTCGATCTAATTATGATGCTCAGGAATCACAACGACTGTGCCGCTTGAACATCGGCACCCGACAAATGCTATCATTACCTCCGAGGACGCCGACATCACGGATATCACGGACCCGTTGACAGCGGTGTGGCTGTTGCACGCTGACGTGCAGTGTTCACAGTTCAACAAACCTTCGTAGGACGTGCAGTTCTCGCGGCACTGGGTGCGGTCATATAGCGCCGACACCAGGGTACTGGAGCTTACGCGTGCCGATGTATTTTGCAGAACTCATCTGTTACCCACTCTTTGATCAATGGCTGCGGCGTGGGTATCACTAGGGTATGTACCGACTCGTTCACGTATGACGCCTACATGTTCGAACGATGAATCCTTCGCTCCATCGGTCCCCAAAGCCACACCGCTGGATCCATGTGCGATATCCTCCGCAGAGGACAATGTTCGCGCACAGGCCCCTGACTCGATATGAGGCTGATACGCCCTCCTTTGCGCTGCCGGGACAAGGCTGCCACGAGGCTGGCAGTGGCTTGCACCTAGTTCCATAGCGCGCGCAATGCACGAGCATATCGGCGTGCTCTCGAGACGAGGTTTGGCGTTGCTTGAACTTCGATGCCCGGGCATATGTCTGTTTCTGTGTCGATTCTGGCATTGAAACATGCTCTTTCGGCTCCAAATATCGACGTCGCAGTGAATACCCACAGTATATTTGCGGTAACGGGACGTATCTCGACACTTTCATCTGCAGGATCGATCCGCCCATGGAACATGATTCGGGTGCGGCTCCGTTCGACCGTCATTGGCCGAGCCCGCCCCCAGAAGGCGCGCCGCCCCAAGAGATCAAGGCGTGCAGCATCGTGCGCAGTCAGCATCTGCGCCTCCGAACCATTGCCCAACTACGAGGCTTCTACGCTCAACGCCAGAATCATGCCAACTCCCCATTTGGCCCAATGCTGTTGAGTCCGCGTCTTCCGCCACGTGTGGGCTGTCGCCATTGTTTACCTGACGCCGCATCGGGCCTTCTGCCGCACAGTTTTTGCTAGGTTCTTCCTAGTTATACAACATGAACTAGGACTCAGGCACATACTCGCCCACGACCCTCTGCCGTCCCAATACCGGGTGAAGACTACGGTTACTTGCAGGCGACCCGCCGTTGTGGATACTGGATGCAACCAAGGGGTGTTCATTCATATTCATTGTGGGTTCGGGAATCTTTGTCGAAACTGTCTCAGGGACTCAAACATGTATCACGGTCATTGCGATGGGGACGAAGGTATGTCGTGTGGGCAAGCTGCTTACATGTTGCACACAGAAGAACGGCATCGTCACAGGTCATTGTAGGCTTGTAGGTAGGTGTAGTGAGACACTATTGAGTTACTCTACTACTACATCTTAAATGCCGGCCCAATAGGCAGATGGCATGCAAGCCACATGTCGGCTTGTAGTCATGTTAGTGTATACATGACAGGATGGCACAACTCTCGTTCATACTCCACGCGACACAACCATCGAACCGTCCCAATCGCTGACCAATGCTTACAAGTCTCGTGACTTCCCCAGGTACTCGCGGTGATCTCCCGATCAATCCACCTCTCTCCGCGCCAGTGACATCATGTCATACATGGGAAAAGATGGACAGGCCTACAGCCTACATCAGGACGGAAGCCGGCAAAGTAGGCGATCAGAAGTTAACGTAGGCGCCGGGGTGTTCATCCTCCCCATGGAATGAGGTGCCAGTTACACGACAGGTTGCGCGACAGACTAGGCCCATGAAATCGTCGCATTCGCGAGCCCAACACTCAGACCCCTCTCACGAGTAGGATGGAAGTCGCGAGAAGGGTCACCGTCATCATGCTTGGTCTTCTGCTTGCACTTCTTGAACGGGTGCTTCAGGCTGTCGGGAATTGGCGGATCACCTGGTTTGCGAAGAGCACCGAGTCGGGAATGCCAATCGACATCATTGTCGCCTTTGCAATGGCCTTCGTTGTGGCAAAGGTTCTCCCAATCTTCCGAGAATATGAGGCCACTTCGCACCAGGAAGTTGAAGGTCTGGTCTTGGTAAGGATTGTATGTGTTGTCGTTCCAGCCAAACTCGCCGACCATGCAAGGGAAGTTCCGACCATGCGTGGACCAGACGCTGGAAATGGCTTCGCCGCGTGGATTACGTGCGATCGCTAACGTGTAGGCGCCCATGAGGTTGAATTGGCCGTTGCTCCAATTCATCGCCTGTCCTAGAGCCGACTGGACCGTCTGGAAGTCCGCAGTTTGTAGAGCGTCATACAGATTGTGCTCGTGAACCGCAAGGGATCAGCGGACGACATCTTTCAAGGTAGCTCCGTAAACGTCGGCGTTGTGTCCTTCGAAGAAGTTGCGATATCCAGTGGGGCCATGGATCAACGCTTTGTGGTTTTTACCAGGGTCGTTCTCCTTCGAAATGTCCAAGGCGTATATCCAGTAGGAGTGATCAGGACGTTCCGGCAAGCATATCCGGTTCTCGGTCGGTCCACGAGAGTCTACCTCACAGGCACCTGTTGGTACGTTAACGTCAACGATGTAGGGCCGTTCCCATTGCCATAATGCGTTGATCACAGCATGTTTGAAGACCCTCTCGGCCATCTTCATGATATCCTCTTGGATATTGCCATCTCTTCTGAAGAAGTCTTGACCCTGCATGAGACTGAGCAAGTCTTGTCCATGGTTGTTCTTGTCTCCTTCCATGAGCTTCTTCGACTCATGTGCAATGCTAATCATACTGTGATGGCGAAAGTCGTTCAGGGATGAGCGTATAACATCTTCGACGTTGTCAGGAAGCTTCACAGGATCGGCTCGGGCGTTGTTGATTGTGCCGATGATGGAAATGTAGGTAGACGAGGCCAAGTTGACCATCGGAGGCGCGGCGGTCTTGTCGAGACCAATGAATCCTGGGACAGCTAGTACCCCACCAGCCATCATCAATAGAGCGGAGACGGCGGACATGCCTAGCTTCTCAATTCTCTTGTGGTCGTTCTTCTCCTGTTGGATCTGCGTCGAGATGCGTGATGCAGCGCTATATCTTGCCACAAGTGAAGGCACTTGTCCATCCGCATACAATGCACCTTCCTGTAAGCCTTCGCGAAGGCTCTTTAACAAGTGGTCCACACCGGCTATCTGTTCGAAGAGGAAGTAAGCCATCTGCTTATCGTGTTGCGATAGCGAGGGATTGAGAGCTTGGCAAGAGAAGCTGCATCCTCCAACAGTGTCGCAGTAGGAGGCACTTGGCGCTACATTGGGCGCAAGCTTGTCGCGAAGATAGTGCGGGAATGAGTTGTAGCCTGGGTCGTTCAGATAGCCGTTCCAGTGCGCGGCGGCAAACACCTTGATGTTCGGTAGGTGCTGCCTCCAGGTCTCGGCTGTGGGGGTGGCAAGGCCGCAGCTGTTCGAGGAATACGAAGGCCCTGAGACATATCCGCCGGGGCCCTGCGTTGGTGGTGGTTTCCGAGGATCGATGTTGACGGGAGCGCCGGTGGCGAAGGTTACAAGGCAGAACAAGATTCTGGTGATGAGGATCGTGAACAACATCTTGATAGTTAGTGTCTATGTGAAAAGGGTTTGTGGTAGTATTAGGTCTCACTGTTGTAGTGGCGGTAGTAGTTGAAGTTGTTGTAGTTGAAGCTGTGGTTGAAGCTGTGGTTGAAACTGTAGTAGTGGTAGCTGTCGTTGTACTAGTGGTGATACTGTATCTTCAGAAGAGTTAAAGTGTGCACGATATCCGGCATTTTGTATACGAAATCCGACGGCAGTGCGGTGTTGAGATTTTCCCCTCGAAATGCGGCGAATTCCCTCAACCATGGTTGTCACGTTCTCCAAATTTACCAGCTGAGTTGCATCAGGCTCTGTACTGGCTACTTGCTTCGGGAAGTATTTCTCAACATCCGGCGATGTTCCGTGGTTAGCATGAACAAAGTGGGAGAGGCAGGAAAAGAGAGAGTGAACCAGAGTTCAGACCTCAGCGCATCGGCCACATACGTCTAGAATGACAATTAATAGCTTCGATCATAGTCTATAGCCGCTTCTAACGGGGCTGTAGTAATATATCGAAAGATGCGCGAGCCTTTCAGCGTATCGCGGGCAATGAGTATCCTATGCTGAACTCTGGGTGTCTGAGTACCGGAAGAAGAAGCTTGTTGGGATTGCTGGGTGCGCCGCATCGCAAGAGAAGCTATTGGTATCGCAGAATTGGGGTATCTCAGGTTGCGAGAAGCCAGCGTCTGAGTATCTATCCAGAGTGATCTGATACCGAAACGCGAGTTGCGCTTGGTGGTGCGCAATCGCGAAGTTCCGTCGTGCGTCATCGCCGTGTTTGGCTTAGTACGTCTTAGTCATCTTGGATCCCCCAGCTGCCGATGGCGCATGTGGCCTCCAGGGCTCCTTCAACGCGACACAAGCATCACCACTTTGCACGACAGCGTCATCAACAATGGATATAGTCTATGATTCGAAGTCTTTCTATACGCGATATTGCATTCTCTTCTCCTTCTCCACACCGAGCGCTCGGAGATGGACGTGACAGGCGTCCTATTGCGCATGCGAGCAGCGCCCCTTACTGACAGCGATGTTCCACCACGATACTACTACTACAGAAATTTACAGGCCTGATAACATAGTTGGCTCCATCGATCTCGAATGTAGCAGTCTCTGTATCGATGATCGTAAGGAGCGAATTGCTTATACCCTCGGCTACGCCAGTCACGTTGGCCGCACGATACGAGCAACCCGGAGGAATGGACATCGTACCAATGAAGCCATCTTTGGAACCCTCCCATTTCGTAAGGCGCATCCGGTCACAAACCCCAGTAATTGGAGAGATCGAACAGCCTTCCTCGAGCTCCATACTCAGACCCTCGGACGTATGTATTATCGCGTGATCCCCACGGAAGGCGATGGATGTTACGGAGTAGATTGGCAATGAACCACCGCGCTCCAGGAAGACCTTCATCTGCACAGCGGGAGCCGCCTCGGTAGTACAACGCACTGGTGCGAATGTCCTAGCTTCTTGAAGGAACGTAGTGGCTGCCTCGTCGCCCCACCTTGAGATGCGTATCTCCGGCTCCAGCACATCGTACATGCGCACATGTCGTCGAACATAACTCGCAATATCGCTGGTTCGTAGGCTACGGAGCATGCTCACATCCCACGCCGTTGTACACATGTTGAGTTCGGGCAGTAGCATGCGCATATCCTGGATCGCCTTCGTTGTCTTGATCTCGGCTTTCATTCGAGCCAGCCGCTCCCGTTCAGCGTCGAGTAGAATTTCAACTGTTCGGCAAATTTCTGGCTCTACGAAGCACTCGTCGAACACTTGTTCAAGGAATGCATGCGTTTTGCTTGCCTTGCTCTTATCTGCTAAGAGCAAGAGTTCGTATGCTAATGACAGCACAGTAACCAGCAGCAACACGTACTCTGCATCCCCCTGACACACTCCGAGGTCCTCTTCGATCTCGAATGTCGCGATTATCGGCCTAAGAACGCGCCGATCCCAGTCTGTTCCGGGACCGAAACCGTCAGTCGACACGATCGTGGTGATTTCCTGTTGGACACGTTCGACTATCCTCTCGCCGAGGCTTCCGAGAACCGAGGGACTGATATCTGGTTTTTGCGGATAAGACTTTTCGATCAAGGTGCTGTGTATACCCCGAAGGATGGCCAAATGGCTGAAGGGTGTGTTCTCGTGAAGGACCGCGGCGATGGACGTGGTTGTGGATGAGGTTGATTGCGTCGGCAGGCTCGATACACTCGATACACTCGATACGTTCGATAAGCTTCGTACCTTCAACCAGCTTGCTACTCGCGAACGGCTATCGCCCATAATGCTAGAGGTCGACGTCGATCGCGTCGACCAGCTCGGTACGTTCGATAAGCTTCGTACTCCTAGCCAGCTTGCTAATGTTGACCGGCTGTCACCCATGATGCTTGAGATGCGGTCGAAGCGGTCTTCTGTACAACTTTACAAGCTGTCTTGTAGCCCGCGGCTAGCTTGGTCATGTCTTCGCGAAGAAAGTCACGTTACATTCGTGAGACATCTGTCTCAAGTCTTGCTCAGACAATGTACACGGAGGTTTCAGCGCACGATTACTTTAAACATCACAGCACGAAGTTGGCCAGTCGACATGAACTAATACATGCGTACACAAGATTGATTCGCTAACTTTGCGAGCGCAACGTCAGCCACCGAAATTCTCAACAACCCCAAACAGATCGCAGAAGGCTCCGACCTTACCCAGAACTCATTCCGCATCATGCTGGATACATCATCCCAGAAGTTATCCTATATCACGCATTCTGCCCCCTCTTCTGCTTCATCTGCCAACGCGAAGAATCCGAGCCCTCGATAGGCCTCGACGATACTCATCGTCTCTTCCTCTTCCCAGTTTCGAAACCGGCCAAGTACTCTCAACACATCAGAGTCGACCCATCCTCTCTCCCTGTTGGATTTCACAATTGCCCTCAAGATCGTACGCACTGCAACGTATTCTCCTGGTCCGCCAGGATACAACAATGTTTCTTCCTCGATCGACCTTTCCCTTTGGCTCGTATCGGAAGATTGCGCGGCCCTACGTAGTTCGTCTTCGTAGAAAGGAAATGCTTGCTCGAAAACGTCGGCCCATGGAAGACCTGTTGACAATCTTCCAGCCGCATCTTCTCGTGAACTGCGAAATGCCACGAACACCTCCTCGACGACTTTATAAAGCATGTCCGTCAAGCCATGACTCTTCAAAAAATGTTCCATGAGAAATATTGCCTCCCATTTCTCCTCTGCCCAGTTGTCTGAGAGAGCAGGATCAAGACACTGTAGAGCGAAATCTCTTTTCGGTCTAGGGCGTTTGCAAAAGGCCATGCGACAGTTGGGGCATGTAGCTTCGTCACTGGGACCGTCCCTCAGCCAATGGTCGAGACAGTCGCGGTGGAAATTGTGGCCGCAGGGGGTCGCGACGACGTCTGGTGCCACGTCGCTCAGAGCCTCGCGATATGAGATGGTGCAGATGGGACACCCATCATCGATATTGTTGGGTGTGTAGGCAGTGAGACTGGTAGTATAAAATTTGTAGAGAGTTGGGGTGGCCATGGTGGATACCGGTGAAGTTTGGAGTGAGGCTTGGATGGCGGCGTGAAGGGCGGCGTGAAGGGCGGCGTGAGGGGCGAATTGGATTTCGGCTTGAGCAGGAGATGTTGTCGATGTCAAGAGAAGTGTGTGCAGAAGGCTCGTTTTATACGGAATTCCGCAGAGGCTCTGTGGGATCTGAGCGAGAATATATGGTGCGTATCCATGGTTCGCGACCAAACACTAGGCCAACCAGCGGCCTGAGAAACGGATGCCTCGCCAATAACATCTTGCTTACTGGCGGCCAAGACAATGAATAGGGATACGCCTATTATCCATGGCTGAAGCATTATCAACCCCACACACCAAGACTACGTCTTGCGGTGAAGGCGAGCGTCACCCAATCGAGCAACCCTGGTTTCTCCGCAAGCGGACCCTGACCCAGTCCACCAACTTGCTTCCTCTTCACTACCTACAGCCACACTCAATACCAAAAGACTCACATCCACCAACCCGCACCATGGCTTTACCCACCCGCACCGAGTTCTATCGCGACCATTTGGCGCCTTGTCGCATTCTCCCAGGCGCCCCCAAGTTCGCAGACATCGGTATCTGCGTCGTTTGCCAAGAGGACTTCAACGATGCGTCATATGACATGGTCGCCGTCAAAAGCTGTTCGCACGTCTTCCATCGCAAGTGCATCATCCAGTGGACGGAGACCTGGGGCTCACCCCGCGACAAATGCCCTTCGTGTCGGGAGTCGATGTACCAGTACACGCCAATGACGGCCCATGAGATCCAGGCCATGCAAGAAGCGCAAGCGATCCAAGACGCTGAGAGCCGGCTATCAGAATTGGGCCCGTACGCTGCAGCGAGAGAAGCTGCTGAGCGCCTCTGGTTCGCGTCCATGGGAGTTTCGGTCGAGGGTCTCGATGAATTTGATGAAGAACCGACACACTTTTCTGATGAAGACGGCGAGGAGATTGTGGGGTCATTGAACTTCAATCCGAATTTGTCGCAGCAAGTCCCGTCTTTCGCGGATTTTGGGAGCGCATCGCCAGCATACTCTCCAACGTTTCCAATGTACTCCGACGCATCACTAGGAGAATCGCCCACATCACCAGGATACTCTCCCCCCACTCGGCGATTCCCTCCCACATGGCCAATTTACGCTCAGTCAACGCCATTGCATTCCCCTACATTCCCGTCATACTCCGACGCAACGCTAGGAGAATCTCCGACATCGCCAGCATACCCTCCGTCAACGCCGGCCGTACAAGACGAAGGAAGTCACACAAGCCCGGAGCAGTCGGCGCAGCTGGAGAGGATGCGTCGCGTCATATCCAGCGAATTCACCATAGCGAGAGAGATCTCCAACGTCGCTGCCGTCCGCACAGTCGATTCGGCGTTGCCGAACTCATACCTTGCGACAAGTTTCCACGCCAACAGCCAGTACCGGAGTTACACGGCAGTGCATGGCGCAATTGGATACGTCATGGTAGGCAGGACGGCGTTGTTTTACTTTTGATTGGAGAGCGCAATTGGGAAGAAATGGTTTGGTAGCAGACGTCACCTCGATCTGAAGGGCCTCACCTAATACGTCGCTCGGACAGCTAGAGACTACTATATCAACCCATCTCACTATTTCCACATGTATTCCTCTTTCGTTCCCGTTGATTTTACGCTGTGATGCGGTGGCCTTGCATTGAAGGCCTCCTTTCACTCATACTGTAACCCAGTCACTGCACAGCTATTGCGTCATCCAATGCTATTGTTCCTGGACAACTCGGCCCGCCGCATTCACTATCGCACTTCGATACAATAGACTTGTTCGCCACAATAGCAGTCTTTTCCACTCAATAAAGCTTGAGCCTGGTTTGAACCTATACGTCTGCTTCTCATCACCGCCGTCTCCTCAACTCTTATCCCTCCAGTCCAGGCTACGACATCTTGATATCTACACGCACCATATTTGCACTCCATTATCCAATAGTCACTCAACGTTGCTACACCGCAGCTTCCGATAATGTCGACAACCACCCCTATCGTACCTACCGCCTCCGTTGGTGTGAATACTCCGCGTTCGCGCCCAACTTCGCCGGACGAAGTAGCGCTAATGACGCCCCACCACCGTTCTTCCATCGCCTCTGAGAGCACCGATGACGACGATCTTGATGATTTATTCGAGGACGAGACTACCTGGGGCCTCAGCTTACCGCCTATCGTGAGTCAATCTACGCTCGCTTCCATCAACACTTCTGACACAGTTTCGCAGCCTAAATCCTCACCTATTTCCTCTCCAGACGACACCCATGTCTCTACTACCCAGAAGCGCAAACGTAATTCTGCTACCACCGACGACTCCGCTTCCGACGACTCCGACGACTCCACGCCATCCAGGAAGGCCAAAACCGCCGATGAAGAGACGGAGAAGAAGGACGAGGGCAAAGAAACCCAAGCCACTCGACGATACCGCACCGCCGCCACCGCCGCGTCACTGAAGCCATCTACCAACAACGCGAACAAATTCCTCGATAGCATGAGGAAGCAGCGCTCTATCCCTACACCACGCTACGTCCCAACCGGCGCCGAGCGCCGCACCGAAGTCAACCAGCTCGCAGCCAAGCACGTCCGCCACGTCGCCCCGGCCATGCTCGCCAACAAAAACAGCAATCGCGACGTCGGCGGCGCGATGACCAAGTTTGACTGGGCCGCCACCAAGCGCGAGATCCCCGCCTCCCAGATCAAGACGCCTCCATCCACATCCATGCTTCAGAAATGGGTCGACTCAGACGACGAACACATAACCTGGTTCGTCATTCCCGCTTCGCACAAATACATCAACACGGGAAGCATGATGGTGCCCATTGCCGATATCGTCGACAAATCGATCAAGTATCCAGAGTGGACGTTTGTAGAAAAGATCATGGGGCCGCATTGGAAGACGGGGGTGGAGGTTGTTAAGGCGGTCAAGGTCAAGTATGAGAAGCTGACGGATGAGCAGAGTCTTGAGAGGATGGAGGTTATGGTTAAGCAGAAGGAGGATGAGGCTAGACAGGCGAGGAAGGATGAGGCTGCTAGGAGGAGGAGGGAGAAGAGGGCGATGCGGGCTAGGGCGAGGGATGAGGAGGATGTGTAGGTTGTTGAGGGGTTGGGGTTTGGTGGTGACAGGTGTCGTTCGCGTGGCTTTGCGAGTGGGGATATGTAGGTTTGCTGATTACAATGAGACCGCATCACTTGTGTCTGCACATGCCTCCATCTATGTATACTGTAATATTCTCTACACCGCTTCTATCTTTACACTCCTAGATGCATGTATACCTTAACACCTTCTATGGACCATCCAAAAATGCTTTCCGATGTTGCTGTTGCCTGCTCGCGTATTATCCATAGTTGGAGTATGAAGTTCGCTAAACCAAGGTTTTATCGCATCCTCAACCACAGTTCTGACTTTGGAGTCGCACTACGTCATGAGTGAATTCATGTGCACATTCACTCTTCCCCCAATACCTATTGAGCCGGAACAATGCTTCTTCAGGGTCCCCACTATCCTTCACCTCGCCCCCGACAACTCGCGACAAGCACTGAGAAACCACCCGCTCGACATCTACGACCCAGCCACCGATCGCAAAGCGCAACTCCACGAGGAACCCTGGCGTACACGATGCCTCCACCGATCGCGAGAACGCCGACGAGTAGCGCGATGTCGTCGCCTCACATCACGTTCTCGACGAGTACACCACCTGGACTGAGCCCGTTTACGTCTAGCTCTGCCCAAGCACCCATGCTTCACCAAACGCAAAAACGCCCAAGGTCAGAAGATGAATCGCAAGAAGCGCAAGCAAAGCGAGCGCGCAACGACTCCATCATAACCTCGCAAGAGCAGCGCTGCAACGACAACAAACCCGCAATCGAAGCCTGGTGCAAAGCACAGCAGACCCACCCCAAAGCACGTTGGTACGAGAAGCTGCACGCTTGGGAAACGAATGGCTGTCGCGACGTAAGACGCAAGTCAACCGCAACAACATCGCCGCCTACTCCCGTCACCATCACACAAACCCCCGGAATGGATTCGCCTGCAGAGATTCTGAACATTAGACGGCAATGGGGCGACGCCAAACCAGACCGTCGTATACATCCACTAGACAAAGTCGAAGTCCCCGAGTGGCCTACCGAGGACTCACTCGCGGTGTGTACAAAGAGGCCTGATGGTTTGTACAAGTGCCTACACCCTGAAGGTAGCCACCACAAGTGTTGCCGCGAGGGCCTAACTGAGAAGAACAAGAAGGGTGCTATTGCCAAGCAGATACGAGCGTGGAAGACTAGAGTCGAAGAAATGGTGTTGAAGGGGGAGCTGCATGTTGCGCATAAGATGTGGCCGGATTGGAACAAGAAGAGTAGGACGGAGTATGAGGGGGAGGTGGAGAGGTGGGATGGGGTGTTGGCACTGTTGGGGGGTTTGCAAGGAAAGAATAAAGGGGGGCAAGGACTTGGGACGCCATCTCCTCGTCCTGTTGCGGCGCCAATTCCTCGTCCTGCAGCGTCGCCTGCTCGAAGGACTCCGATCGAGGCTGCCCGTCAGGCTAGTCCGCAGGAATATGCGCCGCAGGCATTCGTTCCATCCGCGTCACCGACTCAGCAGATGTCCCCGTTGCAACAGGCTACCCACACACATACAGCATCGCGGCAGTTCCAACATCAGTCCCCACAGCAGCGGCCAGTTCAACATCCAGCCAACACAGACAGCACAGCGAGTTCACCAGCTCATCCTGGGTCTTACCAGCAACCTCAAGCGCAACCTACCTACCACAATTCGCCGACCCGAGATTTCGCCACCTCGGCCACATCCAGGAGTCCGGATTTATCAGCGAAGCATGGATATGGCAGCCCTGCCTTTGCTTACGCCGGACCGCATTCGAATGGATCGCCTCCACAGCGGGCTGCAGCCGGCACCTTCCCTCAACCCAGGTCGCATCAAGCTGCAGTGATTGCGTCTGGAGCAGTACCTGGAGTGGGTCAACAGACACCGCAGTATGCGCCAACACCGGACAAGACACTGTCGCCAGTCGCCGCTGCACGATCGGATTATCCTAGCAACATCCAGGCCACGCCTCAGTCCTTCTCTCGAGAGCAAGAGCAGCGTTCACAGCAACAGCAAGCTTCGAAGCCGGCTCGAAATGTGAGCCAACAGCAAGCCGCCGTCCAGCTGCCATCATCAGGCGCAGCGACAAACCATGCGGCCAAAACATGTCCAGCACCCACCCAAATGACGACAAGCCCAAGCCCAAGCACAGCGGCAAAGCGCACTTCCGCTTCCATCAATACACCAAAAATGTCCTCCACTCACACCCTCTCGCCGGACAAGTCTTCCACGCTTGCAGCTTCGTCGCCTACCAGGCCAAAGCATGCTGTAAACTACCAACCGGAAGCGATTCGCATGCTGCAACAGCAGATCAAGGACCATGAGCCTATTGTGCTTGGTGGGCTGAAGATCACTAGAGATGATGTGACCACAAGTATGAATGGCTGCATTCGTAAACTTACGACGGCATTGCAGTCGCAAGCCGAAGAAGTTGCGCAGAAAGAGGTCCAGGAAGCTGCGCGGAAGGAGGCAGAAGAAGTTGCGCGGAAGGAAGCTGAGGAGACTGCACGGAAGGAAGCTGAGGACACTGCGCGTGCTAACTTTAAGGACGCTTCTCAAGACCAAGCTGAAACTACCGACGAGATTGCTGCTCTCGCGGTCTCAAACGACAACGAAGGCCACGAACTAGACTACCTGTTTTCCGACACTCCTATTCGGGCGTCTCACAGCCACCCCATCAACTTCGGCAACGTAAACGAATATCTCTTCGACGACAGCGCCGACAGTAACGAATGGCGCCCCGAAATCATGCCCGACCTGCCACCTGACTTCGGGAAGATGGACCTTATTGAGATGACACGTCGCGCCTTTGAAGAAGAACCTTCACCCTCACAGCCAGAAGAGCAGCCTGAGCAGGAAGAAGACACACTAGCTGACCTGAGCTACCCCGAAGCGTGGTTCATAGAAGACGTCGAGGACTTCGTCACCAGTGGTCCGCTTCCTGAGTGGATGCAACGGCCTACGACGGATTTCACTTTGGAGCACATGTCGCGTTGGGATGCGGACATGGTGACGCCGTCGGATCCACAGGACTGGTTGCAGGCGACCAGGGCCTGGCAGGAGGAAAGGGATGCGGGTCGGAGGGGAGCGCGTGGAGGTGTGCAGTGAGTGAGGATATGGGTGATGACGTTGCTGTCACGCCGGAATCGTCGCGTCTCTCGCTTGGTGGCCGCGGGCGCACAGTACTATCATAGATCAAGACGTTGCGCGAATGCCATCCTCGTGGTAATGCTCCAAGTATCCCTGGTACCCGTCCCAGCATGTGATGCTTGAGCTGGCTGTTGCCAAGGTTCGCAGCGTACATACGTTAGAGGTCAGAAGGACGCTGTTGGGTAGACAGTAGCAAACTTTCTGAAACGTCCTGCGGTTGCGCAGATTGATCCAGCGGTCGATATTTTGACGTTCCCAGCCAGTAGAAAGCCCTCAGCCGGAGTCGCGCTCACTTCGAAGTCGATCCAAAGAGGTGTCATTGGTCCACAGGCCCTTTCACCTCGCCCAGCCTCATCTTTTCCCACGTATCGACTGCTATTGTGCCCTATAGAAACCAGCCGTCAGCGAAAATTTGCATGCTCACCTTCACCTTTGCAGTCACTGCTACTGTAATACCGGCAGAATAGACGTCGTCCCAGCCAAGAAGTCCTTACTATATAAGAAGTCCTTTCGTCTCCAACTCTTCTGTTCTCCAGCTCTCTCTACCCATCTCACATCCACAATTACCTTTCAAGCCTACCATACCATCATCACACTACATTCAAGACTAGAATCCAACACAAGTCATACTATACCACAACATCCTCACCACCACACACCCACACCACATCCGCGACCAAGCCAAATCGCGATCATGTACGCTTCGCCCCCCATCCGCATGTACGGTGCCGGAGCCAAGGAGGCCGCCGACGCCCGCCTCCTCGACGAGGTCAGGAGCCGTCGTGCCGCCGCCGACGCCACCAAGACCAACGTCGTCGCCGCCGCCGCCAAGGCCGCCCACCTCGAGTCCGCCGACGGCATCCAAGAGCAGCTCGTCGAGGTACGCCGCCGCCGCCAGTTCCTGCTTGAGGAACTGAGCAAGAACAAGGCGGCTGAAGAGACTTTGCTCCGCAAAGCAGATCGGGCTTCGGCCATGAAGAAGACTGTGGGCGGGTTGGCGGAGAAGAAGGAGGAGAGAGAGAGGAGGAGGAGGGCGGCTTTCGAGCAGAAGAAGAGAGAAGGGGAGATGGGGAAGGGGCCGGTGGGGGTGGTGAAGAGGTCGCCGCAGAAGGCGGCCTGGAAGGGCAAGTTCAAGGACTTGTAGGTGGTCGGCGGTTTTGGGGGGTTGGTTGGTGGTGTATGTAGTGGTTGATGTCGTCGCCTGGCTTGAAATCCGCCTGAATGAACGATGTTTCCCGACTCTGATGTATGCCTCAACCGTGATTTGTATCCTCACATCTCCGGGCGCAAAGTGATATGTCGTCGTGAAGTCACTTTGTGTCAGCGCAGATACTCACCCCATTATCACTGGATACCTCCTCGCTACAAGATGTCGCGACGTGCGTACCCTAAAAATGTGATGTCTGCCTCAAAATGTGGTGGCAGAAGTCAAGTTCGCGATACCCCACAAAAGCCAGCTATGCGGCAGCGCACGGACGGACGGTGACGTACGGCGATATCGTGACCGACACGCACCTATCCATGGATCACGTCTGCGTGGCGACGACATACACCTATCTCCGCGCATTCAACCACCTCCACTTCCTTTGTCAGCGGCAAACCAGGTGTACATCAACCTCCTCCTCACTCTCTGCCGTCGTACCCGAAGACATTCCCGAGCCGCCTCACCCTTGCAGCGCATCATCCGATATCGCAACCTCGTCATCATCGCAAAGCCAACATCAAACACCAAACACTTAAAAGAGCAGGTACTGAGCGCGTCTAAGATACGCGAGTTAGTGCTCTGATCTTGCATAGCGCTCGTATTCGCTGCTCAATCACGCCAATCTACCCCGGACTTGTTGCGGCTAGGCGAAGGTGGGAAGGTGTCACCACGGAACGTTGCCGAGACGGTAGCATCGGGTGGGAGAGCGCCCTGCAGGACGGACGATTGAGGCGCTTTATTAAGTCTTGAGGCAGTCGATTCACTACTCCTATTTTCAGTGCGGGTTGCATGCGAGAGGTAAAAGGGACGGACGTGGTTGCTACATAAGCTTTTCGCCACCCTGGCTGAGGTACTTCAACGGTCGATCGATTCGTGATAAGAGGCTGCATACGACTTCAGAGAGTTCGGCACCATCAATCGATACCATGGAGCTACGGATTCGCGAGACAGAAAGCCCGGCACCGCAAACGCCCATCCCGCCGCTGCTCAACCTCCCTTCGGAACTCCTCCATCATGTGCTCAGCTACCTCACCCTATCAGACCTCCTCACCGTGGGCATGGTCAGCAAAGTCCTGCGTACCCATACATTTCAAGACACGCTCTGGCAAGCCTTCATAGAAGCAGATGTGCCCAACGTCACGAAACCAGCGCGCCTCACATGGCGAGAACTATACCAGGATCACCACCCATACTGGTTCATCGCGCGGCGCAAGATCTGGTTCGCCGACACAGCCCACACAGGCAAACTGCTCATCGCGCGCTACGACCACCGACTCAACGCCATCGAAGCCTACGCCCTCGTTGCCGAACGACGATCGCCCGTAGCTCTATCCTGGGACCAACACCCGGAAGCCATAATCCACACCTTCAGCCCCAACGTGCGCCTCGACCTCAACGCGCCCATTGTGCGTCTGAACCGCGACGCCTACGAAGAAGCCATCGGAAACATCGGCTACCGCCTCCAGAAAGAAGTCCGCATGTCCCTCTACCGCGATCGCCAACAACAAGCCGCTTCCCTCTTCTCCCAACTCATGCTCACCCGCCCCTGGCCCCAGGCCATAACAACAGACGCCACACCCGTCTGGCCGCCCCTCACCCTCCCCAGCGCAGACCGCACGCGCAACGACCACTCCCCATCTGGTTACCGGCAACCAGGCCAGAAGCCCGCGACGCTCTCCCAGCTCTCAGACTCCACATTCCGGATTCGCCGCTGGATGGAGTTTTCCACGCGCGTGCTCGGCATGGGCATGCGCATCGGCGAGGACGTGACGACGTGGGCGACCCTGCCGGAAGAGAGTTACACGCCCACGCCTCAGAAACCATGGCAGGGGATATGGTGCGGCGACTACGCTGGCCACGGCTGCGAGTTCCTGGCGATCATGCAGCCGGATGAGCGGGATGCGAAGCCGTTGCCTGAACGTGCGCTGTGGGCTGTGCGGGCGAGGGAGCGCGAGGAGAGTGTGAGTAGTGAGGGGAGTTGGACGACGGCGCCTACGGATGCGGCTTCTTCTTCTGCTTCCGAGGAGGAATCTGTTGATGGTGGTGTCGAAATTGGTGTTGGCATGGATAACGCGGATGATCTTGAAGATAGCGTTGCTACTTTACAGTCAGCTTACCACAACTACGTTTCCACCTCCGGGGAAACATCAAACGACAGTAAGCATAGATCGGAGGAAGACGAATCGGTATACAAAGGCCGCATCGAAGCCGTCAAATTAACCGGCGACCCAAACATTCCTCGCGGCGAATACACGTTCATAGCACCGGATATTGGACCGAATGGCTTGATAAGGGTTGCGAAGGAGGAGATTTTCAAGGGAGCGAGGATTGTGAGGAGTGTGGGGCATATTGCTGCGACGGGGTTTAGAGATGGTATATTCACATGTGCTAGACATGATAGTGGAGCATGCAAGCTAACATTAAGAGCAGATAACTATATGACGAGCCAGCTTATTCTCATCAGCCATGATCGGCTGGCGCAGTATTGGGAGACGTTTGGGCATGTGAGCTTTTATCAGAGGGTGGATGTTGATGCTTTTACGAGGGTGTGAGGGGGAGTGTTTCGTGTTTGGGCGTGAGTATTGGAGTTGGTGGGGTTAATGCAGTGTTTTGACAATCTGACCCATGCTTCACCCATATTTCCTTTGAAAACGCTACTGTCAAAGGTGCACTAACACGCTTCTCGATACCCTGAACCAGATGTGCTCTCGCCTTGATGCCACGCCCAGAGTGACAGCGCCCGGCGCATGACCGATCGCGCTTTACTGGAAGAGGGTTAACGCCACAATCCCTGCTTCCGCGTCGGAACGTCATCGCTCATCACCAAATTTTGGGGCAAGCCCAACAGCGCGTGTGATCAACAGTGACGAACATTACGAACACCCCGCACAGCACTTGAGCTGATACTCGCTCGCATAGTAAACCCATTCTTTACTTAGGTTCTTCCACCGACCTAGAGTTCACCCACTTCGAAGAGCATCCCAAAGCAAACATGGCAACGCACGAGCAGTACATACTGCACGTCACCGCGGGCGCAACCTACGACACGTCAAAACACGAAGACGTCCTGGTCAACAGCGAGAAGCCAGTTGACATATCATCCGACTTGATCGACGCGCGCGTACACATGCGCATCAAAGACTACCGCGGTACGCCTCCCACCTGGACCCCTCGTCACCCTGCCCCTCCAACGCTCCAGCCACTAACAGAACCCAGGCCTGCCAGAAGCCTCCCCGAAGACATCGCCCTACTTCTCCACACCCCAACACCCGTACGATCGCTACTCAATATCATTCTCTTTCACGCCCAAACAAGACATAGCGGGTGACAAGCTCGTCTTTGGAAACGACTTCGATCACCCGATTCGCGACCGATTACCGCCGCTGTTCGACAAGGCGTTTGGGGTAGTCAAGTGGTGGATTGATCCGGGTCTAGACGGCGATGTGTACGCAGACGAGCCATATCTCTATGGCGCGCTTCTTTCCTCGATAAACGTCTTGCGCATCGGCGGCAAGAAGGACGCGGACAAGCCGGCCAAGGGCGATCTGGAGGGTGAGGCACAAACAGAAGGCGATGTAGAGGTGCCTGGCTCCGATGGCGAGGCTGTTGTATACGAAGAGGGCGCAGATGGCGACGGCGTCGAAGTCAGGAAGAGCAAACACGTCCCCGACAGAGCCAGCGCGCGACAAAAGTTCTTCCTCACGGAGCAGAACAGGAAGGACTTTGTTTTCGAGGCTGGGAGGGAATACAAGTGCGATTTCTTCAACCCGTATCTCGACTTCAATGAGTTTGCGCTCAAGATCGGGTATGGATTACCTACTATAAGTATGATTGGGCACTGGGACGGACAGCCGTTGCGGTAAGTCATACATTCCTTCACCTCCTGTATCCCCCATTATTGCTATCATCACGACAACTCCCACCACCACTACTTACAAATTTCTTTGGTTCGAGGATACGGAGCTGACTTGACGCATTCACTAATCAGACCGCACACCCTTAGATATGTGCTCAAGAACCGGGAAACCAACCAGGAGCTCTTTGTCGTGGTTATAGAACTACTACCGACGGAGCAAGCGAAGAAGGAGGGTGCTGAGGACCCAAAGGAGAAGTTTGAGGAGGTACACGGCGGTGGTAAGAAGGAGGATAAGAATAGTGACCTTGATTAGGGGATCGGGTCTTGGTATCCGCAGTTCACTTGGTGATGGTGATGGGGATGGGGGATTGAATTGACTTGGGGAGGGCATCGGCATGGCGTTTGGGGGGTATGGGTAATGTCGGTTGGAATGGAGTGGGATGGACCGGGTCTATTGTTAGGGATGATATAAAATTGCGCTCGGTATTGGCAGCAAATGCAGCAGTCAATGTAACTTTGACGGTAAATTTCCATTAATGGCAATCTCGGTTCTCCCCCGCGGGGACACAACGTGGGCGCCGGTAAAAAGAAGCTCGGACCTCCGAACTTCGGCGGGAGCTGCAGCAACACCAAAAATTCCATCGCGAAGCTGCCGTCTCTGCATCACATCCCTAACATGGCCGCACGCACTTTGAGGATAGGTAAGGCTGTCAATTGCATCCATACATACCAAACACATCTCAAGCTACAATCATCGACTAACACCCCGCAGGCCTCATCCCCGGCGACGGCATCGGCCGCGAAGTCATCCCCGCCGGCCGCCGCATCCTCGAAGCGCTGCCCTCTTCCTTCGGCCTAAAATTCTCCTTCTCGCACCACGAAGCCGGCTGGGAAACATTCCAAAAGACCGGCGCCGCCCTCCCCGACGACACCGTCTCGGCCCTGAAATCCGACTGCGATGGCGCCCTCTTCGGTGCCGTCAGCTCGCCGACTGTGCAAACCAAGGGCTATTCGAGTCCTATTGTTGCGTTGAGGAAGAAGATGAAGCTTTATGCTAATGTACGGCCTGTCAAGAGCGTTAGGGGAGCGGCAAGGGATGTGGATCTAGTGATTGTGCGCGAGAATACTGAGGATCTTTACGTCAAAGAGGAGAAGACGTATGCTGCGCCTGATGGAAGCAAAATCGCCGAAGCAATCAAGCGCATTTCCGAAACCGCCTCGTTCAACATCTCCGAAATGGCCGGCGACATCGCCCTCCGCCGGCAACGCGTCCGCGACGCTGGTGCGCAGTCTATCCACTCCAGCCCGCTCGTCACAATTACGCACAAGTCGAACGTTCTATCGCAAACCGACGGCCTCTTCCGCGAGACCGCCCGCCGGGCGCTTCAGAACAGGAAATACCAGGGTGTCAATGTGGAGGAGCAGATTGTCGATTCAATGGTCTACAAACTCTTCCGCCAACCCCAAGACTACGACGTCATCGTCGCACCCAACCTCTACGGCGACATCCTCTCCGACGGCGCCGCCGCCTTGGTCGGCTCCCTCGGTCTCGTTCCCTCCGCCAACGTCGGCAAAGACTCTGTTATCGGTGAGCCGTGCCACGGTTCTGCGCCTGATATCGAGGGCCAGGGTATTGCGAATCCCATTGCGACGATTAGGAGCACGGCGTTGATGCTGGAGTTTATTGGTGAGGAGGAGGCCGCGGCAAGCATTTACAAGGCGGTGGATGCGAATCTGGAGGAGGGCAGGTTGTTGAGTCCTGATATGGGGGGGAAGGCGAAGACAGATGAGATTATTGAGGATATCTGCAAGCGTTTGTAGATGCACGGTACGAGAGCAAGGGTTTGAAATGATATGATGGACGGACATGCCTGGGGTCGGAGTAACGCTGTAGTGCTCTTGGATGAGCCCACACATCATCAGGGTTGACCCAAGAGCGCTACAGCGTTACTCCGATCTTGTAGTACCCCCCAGTAAGCTTGATGTCCTTGGTCGCAATCATATCCTTCAATACATTTCATCCGATCATCTAAGCCGGTTATCTGCCCTGGGATAATAACCTCTTCAACAAACTTTTTGCATTTTGCTTACATTACAGCTCGTAATCGTTGGAATAAAACTTCTAGTAACAGACTGACGCGAAACGAGTTCCGGAAGAGAAGCGCAAAGGGCAACAGCTCCGCATGCGTCAATAGACAGGTGATGAAGCAGGATGCTTAGTAGACAGCGCGAGATGCAGCAAAGTTAAATCAGCGGGTTATTATGGCCAGCTCAGTTGCGCATAGGTCCTGAAGTTGTCAGTGATGTGTTTGGGCAAACAGGTTTGCTTTTGCGCGCAGTTGTGATGTTGTCTGCGCCACAGCACTGCCCCCACCTACTCGATGCAGCCGGCCGCCATGCGCCACAAAGCTGCTGCCTGAACAGCCTCGGGACTTCAAAAGCACAGCTCTATCCTTTTGCAACCTCTCCACGTCGATCCTCGACATGCAAAGTCCGTCTTATCAATATCAACCGCTACAACACAACAACTCCATTCGCATCCTTGTCCTTCACCCAAGTCCAAACGAGTCAGACCCGATCGAATGTACCATATGTCATGAGGACCTCGCCAACGGATTCCTTGAATACGAAGCAGTGTCGTATACCTGGGGGAGTAGTGACCCGACCCATACGGTTCACTGCAATGATACCAAACAGGAGCTATCTATTGGAAGAAACTGTCATGCTGCGCTCCGTCGCTTGCGACTTCCGGAACACTGTCGGTACCTCTGGATTGATGCCGTATGTATCAATCAGGCCGATCTTTCGGAGCGAGGACATCAGGTTCGCATGATGAAGGATATCTACGATTTCGCATCAGGTGTCATGGTCATGCTCAACGATAACGTTCCGGACTGTGGCCTTTTACTGGACGAATTGGCAGAAGCGACAAGAGTACTGGACGAACTAGCAGAAGCGGGCATCGAACTGGACCACCGCGCAGATCCTCCTGTACGCAATCGCCCTAGTGCAGCCATTGTGCGGGAGTTGGAAACGTTTTTCGATGACCCTTGGTTCAAAAGAACCTGGGTTCTTCAGGAAGTTTACGACAAAAGCCTAGTAACAATAGTGTACGGCTCCGCCACTATACCCATTGATGCCATAAAGATGCTGTACTTTGGCTATTCTGGTACTAGAGTGACACGTACTTCTTGGCCCCTTCCCTTGAGACTCATGACGGAGGATTTGGACGAGTACACTACATCGCAATTCTGTCTGTGGAACCTACTCTTCCGGAGTAGAAAATGTCTAGCCACCGACCCTAGGGACAATGTATTTGCTTTGAAATCCTTAGTCGGGCTCGAACAAGAGCAATTGAATCACTTGATCGACTATGCGGAGAGTGTTGAAAGTTGCTTCAAACGAACTGCGATATTTCTTCTACCAATATTGGGTCTTCGCCTACTCACCGCCACTCGCCACCCGCATGGATTAGGCATGGCTTCTTGGATACCCGACTGGTCCCAAACTCTTCCTCTTTCATATGCCACGTTCTATTTCGAAGCCTGGAACTGCGATCCGGATGAAAGTGTGTTCTCGCCCATCAACATTGAGGATCAAAAGCGCGCCCTATCATCGTACTCGTACGCCGAATCCCACATCAGCCCTACACTACACGTTGTTGGATGTCAATATGCGCGGATTGTCGAATGTAGCCAAGTCTTACAGTTCGTTGATATCGACGATGTGGAGAGGCAAATGCTTCAAATGCACAACCACTTCAATAATCTCAGGTTATGTTTGAATGAGGAAAGCATATCCGAGAGCATTGAAACACCTCATCACTTCAGTGGGAAGATTCTCGATGGTAAGATATATGAACGCAGAGGAGTACTCAGCATTGATTAATTATAGCAATGTATCTTATGGATGGCATATATCTCGATAGCAATCTGCGCCGCTGTGATTGTCTCTATCCTCATGTCGTAAGTCCGTTCCTTGCCCGCCACAACAGATCTTTAACACGTCCATAGAACGGTACACCGGTGATCGATATTCGGGAGGGATGTTCGGACTTTTATGAATCTCTCCAGGATTGCAGCATTGCTCTGATGCAAGACGGTGGGCTTGCAATCGTACCCGGGGCCGCACAAGATGGCGATGTAGTCTGCATACTTGAAGGTGCCGTTGCACCTTGTCTTCTTAGACAGTGTCGAGATGAATGGTGGATCCTTGTCAGCGGTGACTGCCACATATTTGGGGATGATCCATATACGATGACTGATTCGTATGCGTACGTCGACTCGCACCGAAGCCAAGCGGAAAGATTCGTGTTGGTATAGAAGCCTTGTTTGGGTAGTGTAAAAATCTTCTGTACGTGATATGTTGAACAAGATTCAGGCATTATGCGTCAATTGAAGTTAAGCGCATCGCTAGCCCACGCCAGCCTCATCGTCCCTAATAACCAGCAATCCATTCGTACGCGTCAATTTCTAACATCGCTGCTCCTTCCCTAATCAGACTCCACAGTCCTCAACCCCCTCCCGACATCCCTTCATAACCTGCTCAGCCAAACTACTTTCCACAACACCATCCTGCCAACAGACCCCCACACTCAACCCCCCATCCGCCCCCGTTACAACACTCGTCGTAACCGCCGCGCCAAACACAACCGCACTACGACTAAACACCATCCTACCAATCCGCCAGTGTGCGGCATCATCGTCGCCACCCCGAAGTTGATCAGCAGAGGGATCGTGAAAGCGACCCAAATTCGATATCTCAAACGCAGCATCGCGTGTCGTGCCGAGCAGCGATGTAAACACCGCAGCGACGTCGGGAATAAGTTTGAACGGCGCGATGGACGTGTATGGTTCGCCGGTTGGTGAGGCGTTGGCGAGATACCTCTTGATCTCTTTCGACGTATGACGTGCAGCTTGAAGACCGCTCATCACGCTTTCTCCATCATCACCGCCTTCCCCATGCTGCTCACGCCTCACATGCACTTTCAACGCATCGATAAAACTCCCCATCGCCGCATCCGCCTCAGTCGCAGGAAAATCCAGCCACGGCCGTAGATTAATCGGTATAATCCCCGTCAGCGCATCCACGCTGTCTGGTAGAGCGGAGAAGAGAGCGCCTGCTAGCACGGCGGTGAGGCCGGATGTGACTGTTACGCCGTTGTCCTTGCATTTCTTCGCGAATGTTGTGGTGGTTGTGGGGGAGAAGTATAGGGTTTTGTAATGAGTCTTCAGGGGCGTGTGAATGGGGGTTCCGAACCATTCTTCCAATTCTGAGCCGCTGTTTGTGCGGTGGGAGCGGGGATGGGGGTTG